AGTAGAGCACTGTATCTGGTTTGGGAGAGACTTTTTTGGAAGAAGAAGTCTGCTTTGGAAATTCGATCCTGAAGGAACGTCTTTCTCACTTTCATCAGTTGCTTCCCTGCCAGTAGATTATATTCAGTCGCAATGGCAGGAAGTACCACCTATTGGAGTTTACAGGTTTGACCTAACAGACTCTTCACCTTTAGGTCCAGTTGTATTTGAACTTTATCCATGGGTTTTCGACAGTGGCGAAGAGCCAAATAAAAGCCCGGAATTGAAATTCGAAGGTCTTCACAGATCTGTCTCTGTAAATAGTTCTGGACTTTACCTGACCTCTCCTATTTGTCCAATGAACACATCCATTTCATCATTTACAACTGAACAAGATCAGAATGTTTCTCAAACCTCTGTTGAAATTCTGAAAGAATTCCTAACAGACTCTAAAAAGAAAGCAATGGTTAGCGCGCTCATTGACATTCTAAGTGAGGCAGTCCGTAAGAGAGTACAGTTCCTACCTGCTCAAGATGAAATGGTGACCCCCAATCATATGAAAGCTGATATTGCCATTCTTTTCTCTGGGGGAATTGATTCAATGATATTAGCTGCCCTTGCTGATAGGCACATCCCTGCAGACAAACCCATTGACCTGCTCAATGTTGCTTTCAAAATCCAAGAAGGAAAAAAGCCTCCCAAGTCTTTGAAGAAAGGGAAAAATAAGAAGAAAGACTGTGATGCTGATGAAACCCAATCAGATCAACAGAGCTTTAACTGCTTTGATGTGCCAGACAGAATAACCGGTAGAGCTGGTCTGCAAGAACTAAAAAACCTCAGTCCAAAGCGCCAATGGAACTTTATCGAAATTAACATAACTCAAGAGGAGCTTAAAGAAATGCGACAGAAACGCATCTGTCATTTGGTGCACCCTTTGGACACTGTTCTGGATGATAGCCTTGGATGTGCCGTCTGGTTTGCCGCCAGAGGAATTGGCTTCATAAATGAGGGCGTTGAAGAACTTTTTACTTCAGAAGCAAAGGTAACTTTGTGTTTCTGTTTGCACTTGAATTGTGTCTTTATGAAAAGTTGATGTTAATGTAAGTCCTAGGTCATACTGTATAAAATTATATTTTCCTCTTCTCGCAGGTGGTTTTGACTGGCATAGGAGCAGATGAACAGCTGGCGGGATACTCCAGACACAGGGTGCGGTATAAGAACTCAGGACTGGAAGGACTCGTCAAAGAGCTGGCTATGGAACTGGGACGAATATCCTCAAGAAATCTTGGAAGGGATGACCGAATCATTGGGGACCATGGAAAAGAGGCCAGGCAAGAATTACGCTTTGCAGCTCAAGGAATATTTATGGTTAAAGGACTTGTTCAACCAAAAATTAAATGCTATAGTATTGTGCACAATACATATTATTTCTGTTATCTCAGATTCCCGTACTTGGATGAAGATGTAGTCAGTTTCCTTAACAGACTACCTGTGTCGGAGAAGGCTGACTTGTCTCTACCTAGAGGAGTCGGAGAAAAGCTGTTACTGAGGTTAGCAGCTATTGAGTTGGGATTGGGACTCTCTGCTCTCTTGCCTAAGAGAGCCATGCAGTTCGGCTCCAGAATTGCCAAGTTAGAGGACAACCATGAAAAGGCCTCGGATAAGTGTAAAAGGCTTGTCGCCACCTAATTTAATGTTCTGACAGGTGTCTTTTCTGGTTCTGTTCTTTTAATATGAATATACTCCTTAAATGATTGGTTTGGGGGAATTGGGAATGAGTACAATTAACACATTTATGGCAATAAATCACAAAAAAAATGATAGCCAGTTTTATTCTGTATGTCATTACATGTTTGAACTACATTTAAATAAACAGATGGATTTTGAAGTTGGTCCTTGAAGTATTTGTCACATTCTATGTATGATGGAAGATTTCCCACATCAAATCGACCAGATATCCTGTGCACGTACACAGGCCTCCTAAAATAGTTATTAATGTCATTGAATGTGAAAAAATACAATGCTTTCTTATATGCCCGTAAGTAACCTTAATATGAGCC